GCGTGCTGAGCCACACTGACCCGCGCTGACCCACGCCGACCCACTCCAAACCGCTCCCCCTCCTCCTGGGGCACCACGGGCGGGTGCTGGCAAACACACCCTACTGTGGAAGTGCACACATGCGGCACTGGTGCCCTTTTCACTGGTGTGAACGCCTGGTGTGACTGTGAGTTCAGGAGGCAGAAACCTCCAGTCTGGGTTTTCGGGGGGTATTTCCCTTTGATTTTCTTGTGCCGACAGAATCACCCTTATTTAATGGCACTGTTTTAGATAAAGAAGAGGACTGTCCTTCTCCTTCATTGTAGATGGATAAATCCTGTTTGAAATGCAGACACAGCGTTTTCAAACCAGTGACAGTCCTGATCCCTCTGACATTCGCTCTCACTCTCTGTCAGTATTTCGGCAGCAGAGTTTCAGGACCCGGCCCCCGGTGTCGGTCTTGGCTGAGCTGTGTGCTGAGATATTGCCATTTCTTCCTCTGTGTTTCGCCTCTTTTTCCTCGGCACCCCTCCTGCAGCGCAGCAGCACACAGCCTCTTCAGGACTGACCTGTTTTCTCTGAGGGAACAATGCCTGATCTATTTTAAGACATCTGCACGGATTCAGCATGTGTTCCTTCGAATCCATTTATAAATCTGCATGGATTTCCATAATAATCCTGCAATAAACAGGAGTTGCTTTAAAGGGCCCTGTGTCAGAAAATAAAAGTCGGGCTTTTAGCAGACATATTTTTAATTCTATTTCTTCCTGCTACTAGTTATCTAGGTCTCTGTTGCTGCTGCTGCTGCTGTTTGCACAGTGCTAAATTGATTAATTAGAGTGCTCTGGCACACTGGTTATGGAACTGTGTTACCGTGACATTGTGTCCTAAATGATATTTGTTGTTTTTTTAAAGAGGATGAAACCTCCTGTGAAACAGGTTCCTTGTATCTTTCTATAGCAAAAACCCTTTTACTACGAGCCTGCAGGATTGACACCAGTTTAACAGCCAACCAGTTTCTGCTGCCTATTCCTAGATACCAAGGGATGTATTTGTCTCTGCCACCAGGGGGAGCTAAGATTAAGGGTTTCTTACATCCGCCCTGCTACAGTCTAAATTCAGATCTGGATTATAAAATCATAGCAATTAAGATCTGTTACAGAGCGTTGTATCTACACATCTTTCTATTCTGTTGTTCATTTGAAGTTTCTTCACGGATCTTTAAAAGATCTTGTTAAAAGCAGATTGTTCATTGTGATGGTCACAGAACTCCTAGATCCAGTGATGGGAATCCTGGATTCCATGGAGCCACTGTGGTCAGGAGCTGCCAGCCAGCCACATGCTTGTGGACACATGGGCAGAGTTACCCTGTCGCAGGGCAGTACCTGCAGGACTGAGCTGGAAAAGGCTGTTCTCTAGATCCCCTCTAGGGATGATAAAAAAGTAAAGGTCTCCAATGTTGAATGTTGCTTCCAGGTCAGCTCGACAGTCTACAGTGTTGTAAAAAAGCTGTTGATTCTTTATTAAGAACAAATGCAAGATTCAGACATTGCAGTCTGAACCCAGTGGATTAAAAGGCGTGCTTTAGTGTGTTTCTGATAATCAGTGCAGAATGTGGTGGAAGTACAGCACATCCTGCGATACAGGAGATCGGCAGGATCTGAGTGGCAGAGCATTGTTTGAGGAAGCAGCTGTCTGCTGCACCCAGGCGATGTTCAGGAGTGGCTCTGTGAGCCCCGTGCTGAGCCGCAAACCCCTGTGGGTTTGAGCTGACTGCCTTTCCTTCTCTCAGAAAAGGTCCTGCGATTGGCCAGAGCAAGACAACCCCCTCAGGGACAGTCCTACACCTGCTGCACCGAGTGTCAACAGAGCTGATCACCCGCGGCTCAGTTCCTCACGATCTCCAGAGCCAGGCGACTTTGCAGCTCCAGTAAATATGGAATCGGCTTCTGTGGGGCGGCAGGACATTTTATATACCATTAGATTTTGGCACAGGCTAGGATAGCATGACTGACAATTCATCAAAATGTGATTGAGCTGCAGGGGTAGTTTTTACTAATAAATATTTAATTTCCTATTACGATGAACATAAATATTTATCGAGGATGGGAAAAAAGTTATAACTTTCCTGGGATGGCAATTTTACAAACTGTGTTGTGTTAAATTACATGAATTAACAATCATCTGCCATTTACCGCAGTTTTCATTACATAAAATAAATGAGAACTTGCAATAGGTATAAAAAAAAACAAAAAAGGGGCACAATGTACTACTCCTGAGATAAAATTTCATCCGTGTGCTCTTGTATGCACTCCTTGAAAGGAAAATGATATTAACAGCAAAAACCTGAAGGAAAAGCTCTGAAACAAGGCGCTGATGAATCTACAGGCAAGTGTGTGTGTGTGAAATGAGAACAGCTCTTTCCTACACTGAAGGACCAACTGGAGCCCCTGTCTACACTGTCAGTACACAGCGCAGCCCTGACCCAGACACAACAACACTTACTCAACACTGTGGCTTTTTAAAGCTTATTACCTCTTCTAAACTGCCTTTCAAGGTAAATTAATAAATATCGATTTTGGTTCCGAGCTTCTATACTGTATGTGTTTTTTAATGGCAGCCCCTTGATGAGAAGGTGTGGATGTGGCTCAGAAGCACACACCCCTCCTCGGCTCCGGGCCATGAGACAATCTGCAGCTCCTGGGCTGGAAACGAGGCACCCCAACCGAAACAGCAGGCAATCAACACAGACAGTTCCTCGCCTCTTCACTGCCGTGCAGATGACACTCAAACTTTCTCTCCTTCTCCTGCATAACAAGACTCCCCTGCATTTATACAATTCAGAATCTTGCAGATATCCCCTCTATGACCAGAAATACAGAAGCAAAAACATGATGTCCACACACACCTCAGCTCTGCACAGGGCTCCCCATTAACCCAGCCATAAAGAACTGTCACAGAAATAAAACATCTCATTTAGATCCATTAACTGTCACAAACAATTCTAAATATACTCTTGTTATACCAGAGTTCACGATTCTGATTAAAACAAGACTATGCATTTATTTTAGTGCCTCTGTATTGGCTGCTGTAAATTAAGCCTTCATCTACCTTTCCTCCAAAACTATAGCTCATCATCTATGCCTATCCACATTATAAGCTCTACTTTTTTTAATAAGAATGTTTAATTAAAGTAAAGCATTTATACTGACTTCTTATAAGCAATAGGTTGTTGCATTACCATGATACTGATTTTCCTGTCTTTTCTGACAGTAATTGTGCCGCCCGTCTGGGCTGGACAGCAGTGCCTGAGCAGAGAGGAGGTCCAGCCAGGCCTCTGCCCTCCTGCTGCTGCTCCGTCTCATCATTCCCCTGCAGGCTTCTGCAACAGCTGAACCATTGGCTCAAACTGGAGTGATTGCTTTTCCCAGTTCTTTTTCTCTTAAACATTTTTATAGCTAATATCTACATGTTTTAGAGAGCATGCAAGATCAGTGTAACTACAGGATCATAAGCATGTGAGAAAATGAAAGGCAATATCCTGATTACTACTATGCCATCATCTGCCTTATTCTAAATCCCTTTTTAATTCTCTCTGCAACCAGAATAATTCTGACCTGTAAAATGTCAAGTGATTTCTTATTGCACCTCGGTTGGTTAATCTCCTAATAGGGATGGATTATGGAGTAATTAGAGTTAATGAAATGGCCAATAACAGCAAGAGAGGTCACAGTTATTAGTTGTGTATTAATTACAAATCAGAAACAAGTGTAAAATTGAAAATCCACTCATAAACAATTAAACTCCAAAAACATCCCCCGGACTACATTACTAGTTTCCTAGTTCCTAGCAGCTCTCCTCAGCTCTACTGAGATAATAATCAACAGGGGCAATGCACCTCTAAACCAGAAGTGGAGAAGATCACACTGGGTTGCACAGGTCTGCCAAACATTCATTCTCCTTTTTATTCTAATTCTTCCAGAACTGTACCGGTTTGGAAAATAGGACCTTCGTTAAGCTTGCTGTGAAAAGAAAAGAATTGTTCATCAGTCCCCAGAGTCCCCAGTGAGCTCTGAAGAGATTAAATATACTGTACAAGCGAGCCTGCACAGCGCTGCATTCATGAATCAAGCAGACAGTCACGAATGTAGTCGCAAAGTAAGGTTGAATTTGCAATGAAGCTAATTGTTCCCAAAACATTTCTGAATGAACCCACTGTTCATTTGTAATATTTTCTTTTAGAAATTATTGCTGTTAAATGTATTTTTCTCCCACAGGCTAGAATGTATGCTCCATGTGGTGTAGTGCTTGGGTTATTTAAGATGCTTTGATTGGCTGGGAAAGGACACAGTAAAGAATCAGGCCGTTTGTTAGATGAAAAAGATCAGAAGGATTTTTTACACATAAATTCTCTTGAGATTTTACTCCTTATAAGCATGAAAGAAGTCAAGCGAGGTTAAATATCCATCAAGTTTCCTCGTAAAAGACATTTTTTTCTAAACCCAGCAGTAGAACACAGTTAGTGTGCAAAGAGCTATCATCGTCAGAATTTGTCACGCAGTATTTCTTCAGCAACTCCTGAGCCCGAATGTGGGTTTTATTTACTGCTCATCAGGGGGCAGTAAAAAGGACCAGAACTCTGAATG